ACATGTGTCATGTCATGTAACAATTTTCTTTTGCATGTGTCAGCAGAGCAAAACTTAACTTGCTCAATTTCAGTCTTCCTGGTATGATCATACTTCAACTTCAGGTTTCTATTATTTACCCAATTTGAGGAAAGTGTCAGGCCTACAACTACAAGATTTTGAGTCTTTTCAGATCATGTGGAACACTTTAAATATTTTTGTGTGTGTGTAAGTTACATTTTTATACAAATGGTGAATGGGGGGGGGGGCAACAATTTCCGACACATCTTATGAAATGGGTCGTAATTCTTTACATATCTTTCCTCTTCAGTTTTTGTTTCTTTCACTTTCACTTTCATCTTGTTTTCAACGCACCGCTTTTGTCTCTGAATTCATGGGCTCTGAATTCTAAACAATGTGGTAAGATTTGGAACTGAATTGTACTGAGCTTTGCTCCATTCACTTTGTCATCAACCTATCATGAAATAAATTTGTTTTGCCCAAAAGGGAATAAATCCCTTTATAATTTCATAAACTTTTGTCTAAGCTTTATACACCTTTATTGTTCGTTGGTGTGTTTTTTCATTTGAGAGAACATATAAGGGAGTCCAACTGTCTACTTCTGTTTGCAAGCTGCGTTTGTGAACACGGAGAGTGAACACAGCTAGCAGTTAGCAAGCTAGGTACCTGACTATTACATTTAGAAATCTAGTATGACATAGCTGACATGTTGACACTGCGGAGTTTCAGTTGGAAGTGGAAGTATGGCAGAACTGTTGCCAGCTGTCGCTTGTATACGGGGATTTTCTCTTGTTACTTCCTCAAAAACAGTGAAATTTGTTAGTTTTACGTAGCCATTTTCTTTCATTAAAACACTTACTCAGCACATTGGCCTCATGGAAATGGTCGCTTTTACGCACATGGGGGCTATCCCGAAAATGCCGTTTTGAGAAAGTCGAAGGTAAGGTTTTTGGCCCTTGTTCAGTTTCTTTTAAAGTCAAGGAGAGTTTTCTCAATAACTATAACCAAACAAATGTACTCACCAATGAAACCAAACTTCTCCAAAAGGTAGGGAAATGCCCACTTTTGGTGAAGGTCAAGTTTTCTGGAACCCTCCAAAATCTGGTTTAGCCCGCTTGTTCTTAATAAGTTAAAAGCGACAAAATTTGAAGCGAGGACAGAATTCAGACAGGCCTTGTTCCGTCCTCGCACAGACCGGGGATTTCTTTTGATTTCGGCCTGGGCTTGGCTCGCGCTGGGTCTATGCGAGGTCTGTGCGAGGCCCGCGCTGGGTCTGTGTGAGGTCTGTGCGAGGCCCGCGCTGGGTCTGTGTGAGGTCTGCGTAGTCCAATTGAGGACGGCCTGTGTGGTGTCTGGCTGCCATTAAATTTAAATATCCCCCACATGGGACTAACTCACATCTTTGACAACAACAAATAGCCTAACCATTATTACACAAAACATTGATGTAAATAAAGAAGCAGATGGATGCACACAGAGAGAGAGAGAGAGAGAGAGAGAGAGAGAGAGAGAGAGAGAGAGAGATCAACGTGAATTCACCAAACCAGCAGGTGTGTACCTTAAGTAAGTCTTGGCAATAAAATGATACAGAGTAACAGCAGAAAAAACAAACTTATGCTCACCTTCACTAAGAGAAATCGAAGATAACGCAAGGCCAGAACTACATTGTCACTGATAGATCTACATATAGTGCGGTCAAAGATTCGTGGTGCAACTTACTGTCAAACTCTTCAACTAAATTTATCTAACTCTCCAGCTTTTGCACCATGTTTTGTATCAATTTTGTCTTAAAAAGATAGATGTTCTAGAAAATTTGTTAGTAAACATATTGATTAAAAATCCCAGTGGATGGTTTCTACAGATTTAAAAAGGTTTACATCTCTTGAGCTGGACAATTGCTTCTAAAAACCAAGTCCGTCCTTTCTTCTAATCGCGACTCTATGCTTATTGAGCGCATGATTTGAGAACCTCTTTTGCTAAAATATAAAAATGTTTCACTTTAAGATTCATTTCTGTTAAAAGTTTTGCTACTAAAAAGTGTCCTTGGTGAGCAGTGACGTAGGTCATATATACGTATGCAAATTGCGTTTGAGGAGCGAGAAGTGCTGAGAATAATCCTATTTTCCGCATGACGAAGATTTGAAATATTTTATGTAAATTTAAGAAGAAATATTTTTTTAAATCTTGCCTTAACAGTTGTGGAAAAAATACAAATTGATACAAACTGGTGTGTAAAGTATTGGTAACATTAATTCACCCGTTAAAGATATATTAGAGGATAAATTTTGAGCCACGAATTTTTGACAGCACTAAATACAGTGGAGTCCAAAAGAAACTTAAAAATGCAATCACCCAACCACCATGTTAAAGTGTAGCACTACCCACTCATTCAGCATGCTAATTTGAAGCTAGATAAATTCTGCTTCACATAATATTTCGTTTATCAATATTGATTCTCCCCAGTACACGCGCTGAGACACGTTTGTTTGATTTCGCACAATTTTGCCAAGCCTTTTTTAAAGGTCAAGTTTGAGTGACCATATCTCGGGAGACTTAAATGAAATAATGTGTCAGATGATGCAGATTTTATTTAGGTTTAAATTGGTATGCTGCTTGAGTGGCTAACACAAGGCTTTAATATAATTTTCAAGTTTCTTTTGGATGCCACTGTATTAAAGTAAAAATCCCTGTTGGAAGCCGGCTAAAAGTTTGATTTTTGCGTGTCTAGTTCAATGTCTGACTCGTGCGTACATGGATAGACTATCAGGTGCCTTTAGAAACAGATTGTTTAATTAATGGTTCAGATATCAAGGTCAAGAGCGTTTGAAAAAAATATCTGGATTCGCTATGATGTTTCTCACACAAATTTCTTCCCTAGGAAGTTCTTCCATGGGGTGATGACATCAAAAGCAACCTTTTCCCCATATAAAAGAAAAGGCATCCATTAGAGTATTCTTATAACATTTTAAGCAGACCAGATCAATAAGCGTACAACAAACCAATCTCCAGCCAGCCCTTTATTTCGATCGAATTTTTGAAAATAAAAGACGTTGTGTACCGAATGTACCCGCTGAGATGTAGGCGTTTCTACGCTCTCCTGCTACAATTTAGATTATTTAGGAGGGGGGCTTCCGACTGCCTGTCACGGCCTACTTGGGCTACGAGAAATACAACATCCCAGCAGAAACACCGATGTATTCCCCATTCGGGAATCTAAGTCGGGTCTTCTGCATGCGACAAAGAAGCGTGTAACCGCTATACCAATCATGCCGGTCAAGTCCCTGACACGATCCTATTACGTCTTCAGTTTATCCAGACAAGACCACCAGGAGCCGCAGATCTGTTGTTCTACGTCTCTTCACTGCCAAATTATCAAACTGACTGGAGTTCAGTTTTGGTAGGAATTAATTTTGATCGGCCGAAGCCTACTCGTATCGATTTTCAAATCAGCAAGGGATCTTTAAAGTGCGCAACTTCACCCGGGTTCTCTCTTATCCGAGAAGGCAAAGTGTTCGATCTTTTCTATTCTCAGATCAGGGTGTGTGGCTGAAAGGCAGCAGTTAGAACGAGCCAGTAATAGAGGGGGGGTTAGCTAGGAGCAAAGTACGGGTCGAGTAGCCCACAAGAAAAGTGGAGGGGAGAAAGTGGAGATGAAAGCTGACGAAAACGTGACAAGATGAAAGGAAAAGAGATGAAGAAAATAGAGAAAATGTTCGTCGCCGTCAGGTTTCGAACCCAGAACCTGTTCAATGAGAGGCGAACACTTTCTTCAGACTACGAGAGCGCACCCCTGAGAAGCATTTCAGAGGCACATTGAAGATTTCGATTCTAAGACCACTTGGACATATTGAACAAAAAAGTAAAGTACACCGATAAAGGGATTTATTTGAAAATTTTGGAATAAAGATAAAGTATCTTAAATACAAAAATGAAAACATGACGTATTAGTCGACTTTTGCCTACGCTACGAAAAAACTGCTAGGGAAATCTGTCATAAGGTCCGATCGGGCAAATAATGAATCCAAAAAGAACTAAATCTGTATCGTAGTCTTTGTAACTGTGATGTTCCTCGAATACCACATCGTACTCATGGGATGACTCTTCTTGATGTAGGGAGAACTTGCTGGAGGAAGTGGAGGAGATGGAGGAATTACTAGGGGAACAGCTACTCGCTAGCAAGTGCTGCATCTCTTCCTGAAGTATGTTAGAAACAGAAGAGTCGTTCAAAAGGCCGGGGTTCAGTGGTGGCTCTTCTACTTGATCGCTCAGCAAGTCGTACGTTTGAAAGTTCGGGCTGCTCTCATATGAACCTGCGTCATCAGCTGGTAGGTTTGTATTCGGGTTGTGTCCCTTCCCGTGTTCGAGTTCCGTGACGTTTTTGATATTGCCCGTTTCACTAGTTATTCCACGGCGGGCATTTGAATATGTTCTCGGGACCTCTTTGGAATCATCGGAAACTTTTTGCACCTGGTCTTTTCCCTGTCCCAGTTGACTCCATGTCTGTGAAATTTCTTTAAACATGATCAAATTCCGTTCTTTTTCCTCCGTCTGTTCTTCTTGCCTATTTTTGAAGTCCAGTTCCAACCTCGGAGTTTGTTTATCTCCTTTTCCTTCTTGTTTCAGCTTCAGTCTTGTAACATGTTCTCTCCCATGCGGTGCAGTGGTTTTGACGTTTTCGTTTGGCGAACTATTGTGGGTGTCCGTCACAATAACATTTTCAGGTGGAGAATGTAAAGGATTGCCCTGGCCATAACGCAGATCGATAGAACGACTACAATGGGGACACACAAGATGTACATAAGTTTCAAATAATATACCTCTGTTTTCCGCTGAGTTGAACGTTTTTTGTTTTGCAATGTTGATACAGATTTGGTTGATCCTGGGTCTAACAATCGGTGTCCGATGGAAACTTTCCGTCATGTTATTCACTTTCTGCAATGTCTTGCCCACCTGCAAGCAAACAGGAGTGGGCGGAGTCAGGAGGCTGGTTCAACCTGTCAAAGGAGAAACGCGAGGGGTTTACACGGCACAGGTAAGGTTAACAGTTGCTACGCAGATATAGATTTGACAATAGTTGTTGGAAGCAGTGACAGGCCCCACAGAAACGGAAGAATTAAATGAAACTTAAGGTGAAACGATTGGCGAGGGCCAAGAATACAAATGGCCTGTCTGCTCATGGGAACAAAGTTGTAAATTCTTTAAGTGCATACATTCTTAGCTTAACAAATGTTCTGAATTTTAGCCCATAAACGACATCAAGACAATTTTCCTAGCCAGTGGCAAACAAAGTAGCTACGTAATACAATGAGTCCACTCATGTGAACAATTATGAACCTTTTTACAAGTTTGTATTTTTAGTAGTTTGACGATTTGCCAATGGCGAGAATGAGGCTTTGCCCGTATCTACGTCAGAGCTGTGCTTCGTGGGATCTTGGTAACCAGGATCTTTCAGGCGAGGTGTAGTGAGATGATCGGGGACATCGACAGAATCAGAAAATGTTCCGTCGTCTTCAGTTTTCGAGATGGCTAAAGCATTTTCAAAATTGTCGACATTTCTGTTGCCTGAAGGTTCGATGAAATCTTCACATTCTTGACTTTCCAGTCTCACATTGTCTTCACATTCTATCCGTTTTTCTTCGCCTACCTCATTCTGATAACCTGAGATATTTTCCGTCCCTAATGAACCCTGACATATTTTCAATTCCTCTTGAGTGGGTTCTTCCTTCAACGAGTCCTGAGAACCTACCAGAGATTCACCAACCACACTTTTCTCCCCCTCCAGATCGTCCTGACAGCCCACTGAATGTTTCTCAGAGTCAAGAAATGGACAGCACACTGGAGTTTCCTCTGGAGCCGGGACTTCGTCTTCTGGTAATGGAGTTGGAGAAACCGCAGTGTCGTTCACATTTTCAACAAGGGCAAAGTTTTGATCGTTTGAATTAAGACCAGAATGAGCCGTTTCAGGATGATCCAGTTTGTTCTTGTGCAAGCTGGGGTCACAGATTTGGTTCTCTACACATACCACAGAAGTGCTACCCGACGCGTGAGACTCACCCACAGCAAAATCAATGTTTGTGTTTGTTAGAGTGTCCTTTTCAAAACCATGCTCTTTTTCATCTTCTCCGGCACATTCTAACACATTTTGCGAAACTTTTTCGTGTTGTTCAGCCTCTGCTATGTAGTGGGCCAGCCACTCAGTTTTTAGAGAAGCCTTTTCTTTGTCGGAGTGGTCATCATTGTGCAAGCTCACTACATCTGTCCCGGTACTTTTATATTCAACACCGTCCTGTACATAGGTCACATGATCAACATTCAAAGTATCAAGATCAACATTGTCATCTTCTTGAACCGAGTGGGCTTTTGCTTTGACAACTTTTCCCAGTATCCCTCCCCCATAACCCATGAAAAGAAAGTTGTCTCTATGGTCACTTCCTGCTTGGTTTCTCTCTCCCCCACTCAGGGTATCCGACTGTGTCTGCCAAAAAACGTCTTCGGACTCTTCCACAGCGACTGGTCTTGTTTGTTGTGGTCCATACAGCGTGTCGTGCACGATCGATTTAGTTGTACGGGCAAGAGATTTGACTTTCTCTAAGACACATGATTCTTCATGAGCCCTATAGACTACAAGACCTCCCGTTACATCGAAAGGACATTTACAGTTCGGGGAACCAAAGGGCGATTTGTTGGCTGTCTTGTCGAAGTCGGAGCTGTCCTCGCTTTCGGTTCTGTGTTCGTCTGGTCCTCTAGTGCCAAGTCCAATGTACTCTGCCGTCTCTGAAACGAACAGAGGACATCAAGTCAAGGCACGAGACCCGAGACTAACTTCAGCTTGGACAATGTTATGTTCATTCCCTCCTATTCTTTGAAGTTCCATAGATCGTAATTCGTAACTATCGATCCACCTACAATGAATGTTCTTTGACTTATAATGAAAGATGGTTTATGAGTTTCTTTTAACTTTTGACAGTGCTTGAAAATTTACTCGATTCTTTGGAATATGCTGGATGGATCGTACATTCGTCCTAAAAAGGAGTTTGAATTTTTTTGACATTTATCCTCCGTATAAATATTTGTTGCCCTTTGCTTTCTGTGGGTCACATTAATGATAATACACTGCCAGGATGTTTCCAAGGGAAGTAGGCTTTCAGAGAATGGAATCAGGAGAATTCACCTGAAAAATATCTGTCGTCGTCTTCTACTGGCTCCTTAGCACTTACTTTCCCACTATTCACAGCGGTGCCAGTGACGTCATCACAGTGGTCGCTCAGCTGTCACGACAAAAGTGGAGAACATCCAGTGAGCATTTCTTTGTTGGGGTTTGTTACCTTTTCTTGGTTCTGGTCATTTGCCCTTTCCAGCTAAATGGAATCGGGTCTGCCACATTTTTTACCGATTTTGATGTCTTGTTTGAGATAGCCTGCAGCATGAACCTGCAGCATGTCTTCTAAACTGGTTGACAAGACCGTTAGTTTTGGTCTTAAGCTGAATTAGACGCACACGTCAGTTTGCTGATAGAACCGTGACGACAATACGAGAGGAGAAGAAGAATAAATTAAGGTTAAAAATGAATTTGCTACAAGTTATGAATAATCAGTATTGTGTACTTGCAAGGATGGGTCATCCTAAGAATGCAGCTTTAAAAAACCTACAAAATGTACACACACTTTTCTTACCGGCCTAAAGCTCGCTACATTTTCTCAGTCTAGTCCCCCAAACTAGTCCCCAGACCAGTCCCCCAAACTAGTCCCCCCCCCCCCTTTCCAACCAGTCTCCTCCCACAAACCAGCCCCTTCCAAAAAAAAGTTTACCTCACCCCAAACCACCACCACCCCCTTCCAAACCAGTCCCCCACTACCCAGTCGCCACCGTCCAACTGGCAGCCGTGTCACTTACCGGCATCTCCTGAGATTCGCCTTCCATGTCACTCTTGTGCTGGATAGTGTCAGCATCATCAGAGTCAGAGGACTCACTGGTCTGTTGAGACACATAAAACTCAACCAAAATGGCGTGCAAGGAATATATATATTTATAAAATCAGTTTGTATATTGATCAGGAACTTTTTTAAGGAAAATGGGGAGGTCTATATGACAACACCAAAGAGGACTTGTCACCTTGTTTAATTAATTGGACTATCACCGAAGGCTACTAAAGTCACCAAAGACTAGAATAAAATAATTACCCCTTTTCCTAAACTCGACGCAATAGCAAAAACAGTACATAGTAAAAACATCTGACACCCAACGACTGTCTTGGGCTCTAATTAGGTATTTAAATATTTCTGGGAAATACCGAGGAATCTACAACTTGCACTTGTGTGTATAAACTTGTGTTGCAATAAAGTACTAATGATAAGCAACAAACTAAAAAACGAGTTGATTTTTTAGGTACACCATAGTGTCATTGTGTCCTACAACGTTGGAATCACAGGATGCACTAATTCACATAAAGTGATAAAGAATAACAAAAGTATAGCGTCTAACCACAGGACCACATGAGTTCGACAAGTCAGAGATGGCTCGCCCACTTACACTGCTGTCAGAGTCTTTCTCAACTGACGGGTCCGGCCTTAAGTTTTCAGTAAGTACCGCGACTCTTGCTCCCAACTCTGAAACCAACCAAGAACAGTTCATTCAACTTTAGTAATTGCGAACGTAAGACTTTTTAGACACCAAATGAATACTTGTCAGTTTCTTAAAAGCAGCAAAAGATGGGTCGTGAGATAATATAATCAGGCGGGGGATGTGAGGACTCTAGAACAAACTGAATAAATGTACACTGTCCGTATAAATGACACTGTCTTCTCTTAAAGCTCATCTTGTAAAGATCAACACTACGTTCGATTTTGATTGGGTAGATGTTTTACGGCACTATCGACACAATTTTGGTCATTTAAGCGCCACCAGGTTTCACCGCTACAAAATCAGACGTTTTTAATAAAGTCTTTCGGAGCTCGCAACCGCAAACGATCACATTATCTCTATTATGCTAAAAAGACGAACAAACATTTATAAAAAAATTTGTTGTAAATATGGAAAAGGCTTATTTACATTTGTATATACAATACAAATTTCAGTGTATGTATATATACACCGTATGTATATATACACCGACAACGACAATTATACATTTTCACATTTTATTAAACAGTCCAATTTCTTTTATATAATTTAAAATTCTTCTAGGCTCTATGATGTCAAAAAGGGTCTTAACATCTTTACACTTAAAATGGAAACGGACATAATTAAAGTCGACACATTCCATTAGGATGTGCCGAACTGTGAAACTTGTGTTGCACGCCACGCAAAAAGGAGCTTCCTCTCCTTTGAGCAAATGTTTGTGCGTGACGTGCGTGTGTCCTATCCTTAGTCAGGTAAAAATTACTTTTTCTCTTCGTGGTAGAGATAGTGGTTTTCTGGGAGTAAGTTTCGGTTGAATGTAATGGAGTTTGTTGTGTATTTGTTGATTCCAAATTTGGGACCAGGAGGATGTGATGTGTTCTTTTACTTTTGGTTTCATGTCAGAGAAAGGGATTTTACTATTTTTGTTTTCAGGTAGTTTTAGAGATTCTTTGGCAAATTGGTCAACGGCTTCGTTGCCATCAATGCCTGCATGGCTTGGAAGCCAAGCTATTGTAATAGTTTTTCCAGACTGATGTAGAAAATGCAGTTTAATGATAAGTTTCAAAATTCTGTTGTCGGAGGTGTCAGAGCGCTCTAAAGATTTCAGACATGAGAGAGAGTCTGAAAGGATTAGGAAGGTAGACTTGGTTGATTGATCTATAATATTTAGGGCCATTTCAAGAGCTGTAGCCTCAGCAGTGTAGACTGAAGCTTCTGGGGGGATTTTCCTTAAGTTTAAGCTGTGTGGCGATGCAAGGGCAGCAGCTCCTACTGAGGAGTCATTTTTGGATCTGTCTGTAAAGAGTCTCTGCTTCAGGGTATCTATTTATTAGCTGTTTGTATGAGTTTAAGTATGTAGTTTTGTCTGTGGACTTTTTGTTGTGTTTTTCAAGACTAGTATCTATGTTTGGTTTGGTTAAATGCCATGGAGGTATGCTGGACATGGCAAAGGGCTCGATTATGTCTTCAGAAAAATCAATGTCTTTGAGATCGTTCTGGATTCTTATTCCGAAAGGGCTTACTTTATTTCCTAAGGAGGATAGAGTTTTTAGGTCTTCGGGAAGGCCAAAGACACATTTGTGGGCTGGGTTTTGGGGTACTGAGCTAAGTTTCAAAGCGTACTGCAAAGAGAGTTTTTTTCTTCTAAGTTCCAAAGATGGTTCATGCGCTTCTGCCTGTAAACTTTCTACAGGTGAAGTACGGAAAGCGCCTAGGGCAAGGCGAAGGCCTTGGTTCTGAACAGGGTCTAGAATTTTAAGGTAAGACTTTCTGGCTGATCCGTAAACAGGACTGGCATAGTCCAACCTGGAACGGACAAGGGAACGGTAAAGTTTAAGAAGTATTTCAGTATCTCCTTCCCATTCAGGATTGGATAATACTTTTAAGGCGTTGAGAACACTCTGACACCTCGTCTTTAGGTCTTTCAAGTGTGGTAGGAAAGAATTTATTGTCGAAGATTACGCCCAGGAAACGAGCTTGTTTTTTAACAGGAATTTCTCTCCAAACAAATATAAATCTGGTTGTCACACATCTTGTGCGACAGACAAAAATGTACACAGTTTGTTTTTAATATGGAAAATTTGAACCCGTGCCCGTTTGCCCAAGTTTCCAATTTATGGAGTTGAAGCTGAAGCTGACGTTCAATGTGATCCATTTTGGATTTGGATTTATAGCAGATCAGGAAGTCGTCAACGTAAAGTGAGCAGTCAATATTGTTTTGAAGGGTTTTTGTGATGGAATTGATTTTGATTTCGAAAAGAATGGGCGATAAGATGCTTCCCTGGGGGACGCCTTCTTCTTGGGTGTGTAAATTTGATAGGGTTGAACCTACTTTTACTTGAAATGATCGATCTTTCAAAAAGTTTCGTATAAATTCGGGAAGATTTCCGCGTAAGCCCAAGTTATGCAGGTCTTTCAGAAAACCATGTTTCCATGTGGTGTCGAATGCTTTTTCTAAGTCGAAAAAAATAGCCACAAGGTGCTCTTTTCGAATGAAACTTCCCGAATGAAAGTTTCAAGTCGGACGAGATGGTCAATAGTAGAGCGATTTTTGCAAAAACCGCATTGAAAATTGGACAAGGAGTTTGAGGTTTCGAGAAACCACATTAGACGTTTGTTAATAAGTTTTTCCATAAGTTTACAGAAACAGTTTGTAAGGGCTATGGGACGGTAGTTTGAAGGGTTAGAACACTACGTTCAAAGCTTTTCAAAATTAAAGGAAATAAACAAGCGCTCACTGCGTTTGAAGGTCTTCGACATAGTCTTCAGTGGAGAGCCGGGTCGTTTTAAGCCAAACATCCTCGCAATTCTCACCAGCGTATTGAATTTCTCCAGAGAAATTATTCCAAACTCAAGAGCTTTATCGGCAAGCCAGCTGTGCTGGGAGATGCGAATTGGCTGGGGACAGTACAGTTTTAAAAGCTTGAAACCTGAAAGTGTGTAAACGCCTAGAGTCAACGAGAACTTCGTATTGTCCAAAAGATTGCTGTATAGTCTTACGAAGAACGAGTTAGTTGAGCATTAACTTAAAATTAATAGGTGTCTGAAGGCTGGAACGAAATGTTCGTTAACTTTCAACGTGATCATTTATTGAGCAGAAGCTGCTCAAGCGATTGGAAGTTGTCCGAAATTGAAAATTTAGTTTTAGTAGAGGTTTTACGGCGCTCGCAACTGCATAAGGTCATTTGAGCGCAAGAAGATTGGGTGTTACAAAAGAGTAACAAACATAAAAATAAGGGGAGATAAGGAGGATAGTTTGACATAAAAGAAGGAGCAAACCACACCAGAGCACCCGTCAATCACCCACCGATATTGAAAACTTGTATCATGTGCACATGGTAACCTGAAGTTGGGCCCAGATAACATGTTAAGCTGCATGCACTTGTTTATCTGTTTGATCAGCTTTATGTTGAATTAAATATTTTCGGCAGCCACCACGAGCTGTCTTTTAGTCACACGATCCCCATCCCTCTTCCCTTATTCCTTGAAGTGCTAGATCTAGGTAATGCATTTCATTTTTCTAGTATCGCAAGGTATTTGACTAAAATAAAACTGAATTACTTTAACATACCCTGTCCCGTTCTTTCTCTACCGGTTTACATGCAAAGAGAGAAGTCCCGAAAGGCGTCGATATCTGAAAAAAGAACCATTTGTTCATTGGTCATAATCAATAGAAAATGGTCTGTTCTGACATCGAACAAGTACACTTTGCTGCTTGTGTGGTTGTGTACTAATTAACACAATAAGGTCACATGTTAAGAGAAACAATTTTACCTTTATAAGGTTCATTTTTACTGTGGAAAGATTTAAACATACCAGAACACTAACCATAACTAACGAGGGTTATACTAACCTGTTTTATTCATGTCAAACGTTTTGAGTAAAGAGAAGCACATCGACACAATGGTCGTTTCGTGCTGGGAAGAAGTAAGATTGGGAGACTGACAGACAATAGAGGGAAAGTAAAGAGGAACTTAAAGTAAAGCAGGACCTACCAGTGGAGCCTTCCAACCACCGGCTAAGCCAGAGACTGGGTGAATGACTTTCAGTACATTTATCAGGAAAAGCAGGGCTTAAACAGGAATACCAATGTGACGATACAAAAGTGAAATCTGCCAGGGGCGAACTCCAACCACCCACACAAGAATTGACAACATAACAGAAATAAGCTGAGAGCCCGTCAGCCACACTAGTATCTGTTCGAGCGGACACAAATGTACCGTGTTCCTGCTGGTCAGCTTCTTGAGGAGACTGGTTTTCTTTTTCTTCTCTTCTTCAGTGGGGCTCGAGTCCAGTCCTGCCAGCTGGTGCAGAACTTCATTCACCCAAGCGAGGAATAGTACCTGGACACAAATTGGAGACATGGCCAAATCTCATTCACCTGTCGACAATTTAGATCATTTGGAATTCAGATTGCTTTGACCCTGTCTACCAGGGACAGCCTGAGCTAAGTGGGACACATCCTTACAGGAAGTCAAGTTTTAAAAACTTCACGTAGAAGTAATTATTTTGAAACTTTTAACAATGTAGACATTACACAATAGAAGCCGACAAAAAAGACGGAGATACTTGATAAAATGCTATCTCCAAGTGAGTACAGAACTGGTGTCGAGTGCCTGGAGCACAAACTAATAAACAATCTAGATCACAGACGTGTGGAGATTTAGGCTATACCAGGCGAAGGGTAGGCTACGGCAGGAGACAATTTGAGGCGAGTTTTCAAGGCACAAGAGGTAATTCAACTCCACTTTGATTGGATCTCGTAATTTCTATTAACATGTACATCTTCCAGAATATTCTGGTTGCTTTCGTATCTAGTCATCACCAAGGCAATCTACCGGAAGAGCCGCAGGCAAATGAAAAAAATACAATTCAGTCTATGAAAGCTCTATTTCATGTCGCGTGTTACGTAATACTATAAATAGAGCCTTCCGAAATTGAACAGACATAACTGCAGAGAAGTGGTAGAGTCGAAATGTAAATGGAATCTGCTGCACTCTTAAGGAGCAAACATGACGTAAATGAACAGTTTAAAGTGTAGCTATTCGGCAGATATTTCCAGCCTTGTTTTATATAGGGACTAGTACCAGGAACACGTCCGTTTTCACAGGATACATAAGCACATTAACATGCAGATATGAACACGACACATTACAAAAGGTACAGTTCAAAATAGAATCAGCAACTCACCTGGTAAGTCATATAGGGGATCAAGAAGAACACGTCCACCAAGTAAAAGATGCTATACGCCATTTGTAAGAAGTACTGGGGAAACAAAATTATACATTAGTGATTTTATCCAGAGGGTTTGATTGAGTAAGTGTTTTACGGCACTACCGACCCAATTCTGTATCCAGAGGGGAAGGTTCGAAAAATGATAGCTGTGGTGACAAAACCTTATAATATTTAATTTAAAGACCATCCGACGTAAAGAAAACCTATATAAAGAGACCATAAGCCGAATTATGAAGTTCTATCTGACATTTTTGGCAGTTTTGAGTTACTAAGAACTTGAGATCAATTAATACTATATCTGCTCTATCAAAATCGTAAGAATATTCGAGTCGTTATCAAGATATTCAAAGACTTGAATTCGAAAAAGCTTGACATGGTGTGAAACTCAAAATCGTTGACGTCAGATTTCTCAAAACAAGGTACTGAGCGATGACTAATTCTGAGGTCGTGAAGTGGAAAAGAACGTTTCAAGTACAGTTTAGTTTTAGTAAGAGTTTTACGGCACTTGCAACACAAGGTCGTATAAGTGCCTAAGAATAGATGTGTTACAAGAGAGTAAAATACACAAAAAAGAAAGATATTAGGACGATAGGTGTTTGGTAGGAAAGAAGGAGCAAACCCCACCAGAGCACCCGCCAACCACCTACTTCCAAGTACAGATCATCCTACATTAATTTAGCTTTAACAATAACCGATGCAAACATCCACTTCAAAAGACACGTCGACAGCCTACAGCTGTAGATAACTCCATGAGATTTCAGAAGCAGGACTGAATCATAACATGACCTAATATGTCTCATTTCAAAACATTATAAAAGGATAATACTCAGAAACACCAATACCCGATCGAGGGACAGAAAATACATTGGCTTAAAATTAACAAGAATGAGATTTTCTGGGCTCAGTTCAAAATTTTAAAAGTTACAGAGCGACGGACTGCCCATTTTCTTACGACGACTGTGGCCCATAAAAAGCATTGATGGAATCTCTACAAACAACGAGCCTATTCGATATTTTCAAGATTATGAAGGAAGCTACACGCGTTCCTCTACAAATAAACGATTGTGCCTTGGTCTATAGACAAAGTGACCCTTTTTTTCTCCAACGAACTGGCGTATAATTTAGGCGTATTGCAGTGCTGTCTGTCAATCAAAACTTGCTTCTGTCGAATGATAGCTTACTGTTTAGTATGGTATATGTTTAAATCTGTTACAACAGTGAACGAACCTCTATGATATCAAAGACTGTACTGGCGACGAAATCGAAGAATCTGTAGAATATGCCTTTAGATTGTGATGCTGTTTCGTTCCGTGATGCGGTTTCGTTCTGAGATTCAGCTACTTTCTCTACTTCCTTTCCAGCTGTACTTGGATTAGCTGGTTTTACAAGCTTTTCTGTAGCCGCCTGAAATGACAGTGAAAATCATTGAAAATATCAGTAAACTGTAAATATTATTTTGAGCTAGAACAATGTACTGTAGTATACGAAGAAATTTAAAAAAGCAGAACCTAAGCATGTTTAAGCCTATAAAATTGGTGCCCCGGGCTTCGAACGCAAAAGGATAACAGTATAGCCGACAACGCACACAAAATCGCCGCCTTTTGAATCTCTTCAAGTTCACGCTGTAAACATGACAAATCAGATTTACCTCAAGTCTCAGGGTACCATAAAGAGGCTGGTAAAAATATCCCGTTATATAGACTAAGCTTCCGAACACTTTGTCCAAACGTCTGATACTTTTTATTCAAATTAGATAATTCGTCAATATTTTTCACTGCGTATTTTCGAACGTGTCAAACATTCGGCATATTACTTGGAACTCAAGCTCAGTAAAGTACCGACTCTTGAGAAATCATTGCATTCACACACTATCCTGCACAATGGCCAGAAATGGGAGTCCGGATCCTGTTCATTTGTGGATAGCGGTTATAATTTCACTGCTGAGATTATTCGTCACTATTTTTTAAAGGAAACCCAAAGCTTAATGTTCAGCTCAGTAGCGCAATTGAATGTTTCACCGAGGAATAGGCTTAACAAAAATTCAGGTTGTACCAAACAGCCGAAAAACATTCTTGAAACTCGGGGGAAAAAATATAAAAACATCTGAAGCTCACTTTTGTATTTCTCTTGCCTTTGATCGACACAGAATATCCAATTAATTTTGGTCTGTTGAATAAACCTAGATTTAATCATGGCAAATGAAAAATCCTTGACGAAAATGTTCATTAACACTAGCCAATAAATACAGTCGATATTTGACTTACCACCAATTTCTTCTTTATAGGAATGCGGACTAAATCCTTCAACAAGGCAAGGATGACCTGGGAGACAATTAGGCACAGCTGGACACTCCATCTTGTCACCAGGAAGGGCGGGGAGAAGCGGAAGAACAGGTGGAAACTAATCCAGAACACAGCCACAGGCCAGGACTGGTCACCCTGCTGAGTTAGGGGTCATTGAGTCATTGTTTGTAAATGTGTTACGCATTTACAACACAAGGTCATACAAGAGCCGAAGATTAGGCGTTACAAGATTTGTTTGAGTATGTGTTCTACGACACTTTTGTCTCAGTCGGTGTTACAAGAGAGTAATAAACAAAAAGAGATTATGATGATAGATGTTTGATAGGAAAGAAGAAGCAAGCCACAACAGAGCACACGTCAACCACCCTTGTCATTTGAGTCCGTTCACTGTACGTTAGCATGACACCGGTCATATTTGACCAGGAATAGATCTTACGTTTAGTTGGGTAAGTTTTACGGTACTTGCAATACAAATAGGTCATAATATAAGTGCCGACGATAAGTGGTCTTACAAGAGAGTAAATAGAATAAATGAAGAAGAGATAAGAACGACAGATGTTTGAAATGAAAGAAGGAGCGCAGGTAACACCAGAGCACCCGCCAACGACCACAGATTTTAATCTGGCTCGGACGGACTAAGAAATCTAGAGTAAAAGCTGCAGACGACACCAGACCACTCACCAACCACGAACCCTAAGCGGAGTAAATAAAAGTAACACTATGAGAGCTGTATCATAAGTAATAGTTAGAATAAGGGGGGTGGGGGTGACTTTGTACGTGTGTGCCTGGGGGTCTGTGATAACGTGTTCGTTTTTGTATGAAATGTAAACCTAAGTAATTCATATTTTGTTCTACATTTGTTGGCATAATAATTCATTTCTCCCGGGGGGGGGGGGGAGGTGGTGAAACATAAGACTACGCAAAACAGGAAACTGGTGGGAACGATGGAAACTGATTTAAAGAATGTCCTGTCAGATTCAGAGAGGCAAAAGCTACAATTCAGAAAAATGCAAAGCAGCAAAAAGTACATGTAGAACCTTTTCAAGTAGAAAAAAATTCGCGTTATGAAACCACAAACGATCCTAGAAACAAGGTACAATTCAGCTTGATAACTTTTAATGCCGAAGCGGTTCGTCACTTTTGGAGTTACATTTCGCTAGGCGCTGCAAATTAAGGAAGTTAATCATATTTTAAAGTAAAAGTTACGATTCGAGCGGTGCAACGAAGGTTTGTGCTGTATTTGATTCGCTTCGATATTCCTTCTTCCTAAACGAGGAAAAAGATAACCCTTTCATAAAGAATACCTTTATGATTTAGCATAGACGAAGACACATTGAGGACGTTGCTGCCTCTTAGTTTGAAATGAATATAAATGTGCTTGAAAAGAAAGACATCAGGGAAAGAAAGTCGTGGAACTCATAAGGAAACAACCAAAAGAAAGAAGACTACTTGCCTTTCTTATTTCTTCAACCTTGTTTTCAGCTTTGACAATGGCTGCACCCACACAACCCAGAGAATCGTCGGCTGCAGGAGAGAGACATATATTCTGATGAAACTAGTCGGACATGTCACAAGAACTGATGCAGATTACGCAATTCTATTTTTATTTAATTGCTTTTGTTTCATTCCCTAGATATCTAGGTAAGTTAATGAGAAAAATCAAGTGTATTTTAAAGACATACGCAGTTTCTTCGACACCGAGAAATCAGTTGTAAGAATGACTCACAAGGAACGTAGAATGGAAGGCAAATACGGCAATGATAATGAGGTATTTAGAGAGCTTTAACAATCGTACAAAAGGGTTAAGCGGACGATTATCTTTGTCCGTTTTACATCTGGTACCTAAATGAGGAGCATAATTATACCAATGTATAATAGGACACTATCTGGTAGTGGCCCAGTTCTATGGCAGTATTGGCTTAGCAGCTAGCTATAAGAGCCGTGCTCAGCCTGAAGAACTCAGTAAAGTAAAGTTTAGGCTAGTGGTGCCCTTCTTTACCCAATGTCTCTTCCCACTTACCTATTTTGCCGAATCCAGTTTTTGCGATCTGTTTATACACACTCTTTGTCTGTTCTTCAAAATGGGGTGCTAGTTTTCGACTTACAGCGTTGCAGTCTCTTAATCCTGAAATAACAAGGTATCAAATAGTGGGTCTCCAAAGTAAAACTTGGACTTCGTCTGATTCTATGGGTCAAAAGATTTCATTTAAACGAAAAGTATTGCTGTTTGTCTACGTTTATATGAAAAACAATGGGCACAATCAGTTACTAGATCTATAATGTTGCCAAGAAACACTCGCTTTCTTATAGATCCACTTTAAAAACCTGAGCTAGCAAAAGTCAGTGGACGAGACTTATAGACGTCCAAATTCTCCAGAGTAACGTTCTAGAACCTCATTCTAGCTTGCCAATACTTGTGATACAAGCAAAATGTACACCTAAAATGTAATCGATCAAATGCAGCGGAATATACTCTGAAAGCTGGGACGTTTCTGCCCACTGGTAGGCAAACATCGGGAATTCGGCACTATAAACGATGACCCAAGCTCTCTGGGCAGACATTCACAAGGTGTGAAAATTAAGTTTGTATTTGAAGTGCAAACATAATATATAAATCAAACCTTTGAAAAAACTCGCCCTCCTGGTTAATTACAAAATCTAAAGGTCGACCAAAATTGACAACTTTAAAGTAATGCACTTAATTAGGACAGTTCAGTCCACCACCCCCCCCCCCCTCCCTTATTTTGCTTGAAACATTTCCCCACACTTTTTCATAGTTCAGTTGTTTTGATGTGTTTTCTTCTACTATGTTTATACTATTTCTGGCTTTGAAAAGTTCTTGACAGAGCAAGGCTACCAAAATAAAACCTATCAGTTCAAGACATACAACATTGTTTTGAAACACCAACCTGTGTAGACACTGGCAAGTCTCTTCACAACCTTGGACTTTTCGAATTCGGCGACCCCAGCAGACGTCCACTCCTCAATCACCTGTGGTATGAGTAGTAGAATTACAGAACGTGGAGTGAGTTACGCAGAACGCGACTTACTGGGACATTTTAAATGAATTACTTCGAACAAACTCATTATTTCGATGCTCCACTTTCATCATACCATGTGACACTTTCGTTATACCATGTGACACTTTCGTTATACCATGTGACACTTTCGTTATACCATGTGACACTTTCGTTATACCATGTGACACTTTCGTTATACCATGTGACACCGTTATACCATGTGACACCGTTATACCATGTGACACCGTTATACCATGTGACACCGTTATACCATGTGACACCGTTATACCATGTGACACCGTTATACCATGTGACACCGTTATACCATGTGACACCGTTATACCATGTGACACCGTTATACCATGTGACACCGTTATACCATGTGACAGTTCTAAACCACTATCCAAGGCGTCTTTCCCTCTTGGGTGCATCTTGGAAGGTTTATGTATCCTTTCTTTTCTGTGAGACAAACAGCTCATTTCAAAGGCAAACAGTGTGCTCCAAGATCAAGGGGTTTGTGTTCTATACTGGACTCGTGATACAGTCTAATAAGACAAAGCCGGGAAGAAAAGCAGAAAATAACAGCTATGACTTAAACTCCCGAGAAGTTCTGTCAATGAGATGCAAATTCATCCTTTGAGAAAATTTCACACCCATCCTCCCTATTCCCTCCTAAAATGTAGAGGTTGGTACAAAGATGTAAATAATATTTTAACCCCTCCCAACGCCATTGTGCACACTCACTTCCGGTGCTTCTTCAATTCGTTCCTCGTTGGGTCCTGCATCTGGTGCGGTGACTGGCTCCGAGTTTGCTGCCTCTGCCATTGTTGAGATTTCGAAACCGCCGAGAGTGGCCTTGCCCTGATGACTCCTAGAAGACCAAGTATTGAGGTAGCAGCGTATCAACCAAAACTCCTAGTATTAGTAAGTTCAAAACATGCTTTGTCCATCGTCAGTTTTGTAATATCAATGTAGCAATATTTTCATAGTCACTGCATGTCAAACTAATGAGACTAACACTGCTCTAGAAAGAAGTATGTTGCGAGCGAAACAAAACCATACGTTCTTTCCTTTCATAAAAAGGCATACAATAATGCGTTTTATTTTATACAAATGAAAAGTTGAAAAGTCTGAGCCTTCTGCAAAAACGCTGAATCCACAAAAGACCATCAAAAAGATGGAAAGGTGTGTGTGGGGAGCGGGGGGGGGGGGGGGGTGCCACCGCTATTAAGAACGTTACAATTGTTTTGAAGAGGATATCTAAGCTTCGGGGGCCAACCCAGGCTATTTAATAATGATGGCGATAAGGACAACAAAAACAGTAAGAAATGTAATAAAATGTAATAATATGTAATAAAATGTATTAATATACTAATAAATAGCATATTTGTATAACGCAAGCCCCGGCAGTAAGCTCCATGTGCTTTACAGTCTTACCCCCGCAGACCCTATAATGCTCATAAATATTTTCAGCATCCCAGAAAACAAAAAGGTGCAAGCAACTAATTAAGCGCTCTATCAAACTGACAAGATCTTTGTCTATATTCCTACCTGGCTGAAGTAAGGAAAATTCGAAAGCCTTTCCCAAAGACAAAACTTTGGGGCCCTCACGGGATTCGAACCGTTGAGGAGAGTCCGAGAGCCTAACCATTAGGCCACAGACGCCACAGCAAGGATACACACATCTCAGTAGAAAGACATACTCAAAATTTCTCCAGTCGAGAATCGAAACCGGGTCTCTTGAGCGACAATTAATACGGGGTGCCTATTGCAAATGGAATCGGGTCGGGTCGGGGGCACTCGCCTGAAAATAAACGGGTTTGTTTTTGAGGCGACGAGTCGGGCGCGATCGGCTTGTGCCTCGATAGCCGCTTTGCGCCTTGAATCTGGCGAGAAAACCGACCCGACCCGAGGCCCCCAACGGGGCACCCCGAAAAGCTAATCACTACACCACAGCCGTCCGAGAATCAAAGCGAGGATATGTTCGTGTGAGAGCAGATTTGTCAATCTGTTTGAGAATGTTCTTTAAAATGGGAGTCGACTTGTTTAGATTAGTTCCTATTGGAGTTCTTTTATTCTTTTAATTTGTGTATGTATACATGCGTTTATGCTTTTTTGATTGATTGGGTAGATGTTTTACGACACTATCGACACAATATGCGTTTGTGCTTGCCCGTGCATGTGCGTGAGTGATTGAGTGCGTGCGAGTGAGTGATACACCTGTTCTTACTCGTACATGAATGTTTTTGGGTTTTTGGGGTTTTTGGGTTTTTTTTGGTGTGTTTTTTTTAGTAGAGGTCTTACGGCGCTCGCAACTGCATACGGCCGTATGAGCGCCCGAAGATTAAAAGTGTTATAAGAGAGTAGCATAAAAGGGGAGATAAGGATGATAGATGTCTGTTAAGAAAGATGAGCAAACCACACCAGAGCACCCGCCAACCACCCACTTACATGACTGTAAATTACAGTTCCGAAAAAAGCTTTGTTGGCCTCATGGATTTCATCAACATTTTGTTGCAAATGTTTTAATATCGTTAAACTCAAGAACATTTCAAAATCACAACACTGAGTCATTCAGAACTCCGGGTTCCGGAGAAATATTTCAAGGAAGGACTTCCATGAGCGACTACAACAAACAAAATAAAGAAAAGACCTAATGCCAACCCTAACCTTTACCTAGCACCTGCGTTCGTTGCCATTTTACTGTCCAAAAGTTGCCAAAAGTTGCCACAGAAATGGTAAAAGTTGTCATATAAGTATAAGTTTCAAGCTTCCACTCTCTGTGACGACAAATATAGCAATATGTTGATACAGGTAACTTAATCTAAAGCACCGAAATTACTGTGTTCTGTTTCAAGCATCCAGAAGATCATTTGTAGCCACACAGTGTAAAAACATGAAAAATAAAGGTTTCACAACAGAATAAAATAAAAATTAGGATAAAACATAAACAACAACAAATATTAACAAATAAGGGCGGGTGTCCACCTATCCGAAGAGTGGCCATTTAAACCCTAAACGCGAGTTATTCAAGAAGAAGTACAGGATATTACATATAAACTATGGAATCACACATGAGGGGTCTGCCAGTGTCAGTGCATGTACATGTATTCGGATTTGGTGGAGACACGCTCTAACATTTTTACGCATTTATTATTTTTTTTAGAAAGGTAGGAACAACAAGTTAAATGATATTGACATTACGATAAATAAAAACCAAAAAAATTGAAAACATAACAAGAAAAAATAACAGCAGCACATTAAAACACAGCAAAGAGAAAAATAAAAGAGAAAAAGTAATATAAATAGTAAGTAATATACAAGTCTTTTTCACATGAAAATAAATAAACGTGGGGTCAACAAGAAAGAAAGAATGAAGTGAAGAGGAAGTGAAAATAAACTTTTAAAAGTAAAGAGGTTCGATTTCTTTTTTTTCTTCTTTTTCTTGTTTTTATACCCAGTTTTTTCCATTTTTTATTCCCCGGCAGTGTGGCTTTTGGGAAAATGCGAAGAATTGCGGCCGCAATTTACGGACCAAAAAAGGTCAAAAATCGCGGCCGCGACAAACGCAGATGCTAGCTTTACACTGGTCCAACCTCTACCCCCAAGCCCGACCCAAACCATACCCTATAACCCTTTATTCTATACTCTTTCATAGTGGTCACTCGTTACGGAATTCCTCATTTCTGGAGAAAAAAAAAATTAAGTTCAGACCTTCGGATTTATAACTCGGGGCTTCCGGGTAACAGATCAATTCCCGACCACATACAGCTTCCAGAGACTTGCGATGGCAAGAAATACACGAGGGTGTAACTAAACAGCAAACTTACCATTCCCATAACGCAACCCCCCCCCAAAAAAAAAAAAACCAAAAAAAAAACACTGAACAAGTACGGCGAGATCCTTAATATCTCAGGGAAATTTAGATTAGGGTAAGAGCAATATTTTTTTTTATATCCCGAGCAGTTTGTATCAGTTTTCAAAGTATGAAATGGCAGACAGTAAAGCCTACTACCTCTATAACGAGAGGGTTTATTAAATTACTTGGGACTTTGCTTACCTGAGGAAGTACTGCAGACCACAAGCCCCAAAAACTGGCGGTACACGAGGTCGAGGGATAAAGGTGAGCCCTTTGCAGCTAATCCGAGGAATGAGTTGTGAGCTCTTATAAAGACACTGACCACAAGTGGAGGAAGACACGGTGTTTGGCTTGGTTTTTCACCTCTTTTGAAACATTTTCCTGATTGCTGCTCACACCGTTAGCCTAGAACTAAGTCTGTTGTTGTTTTTTGCTCACCACAATCATGATTCATGCACGACGTACTGGGGTTCTGCAAAGTTGAGTCAAGTGTATATCTGACAGAGAGGGCACAACTTGTAAATTATATTGTATAGAAGGCCTTTTCTGACAACTCACACTGCTCACAACTTGGAACAAAAAAGTAACTGCTCACCACTCTCTGATCCACAACCGCCTTTTGTCTCTTTCTTTCTTCCTTTCTTACTTTATATCTCTCTCTGTCTGTCTCTCTGTCTGTCTCGCTAGCTGTCTATATGTATGTATAACTGTCTGTTTGTCTGTCTGTCTGTCTGTCTGTCTGTCTGTCTGCTTGTCTGTCTCTCTCTCTCTTTCTCTCTCTCTCTCTCTCTCTCTCTCTCTATATATATATATATATATATATATATATATATATATATATATATATATATATATATATATATATATATATATATCTTTCTCTGTCTGTCTGTCTGTCTCTGTCTCTCTCTGTCTCTCTCTCTCTCTTTCTCTCTCTCTCTCTCTCTCGCTCTCCCTTTCTCTGTCTCTGTCTCTCTCTGTCTGTCTGTCTGTCTGTCTGTCTGTCTTTCTCTCTTTGTCTTTCTCTGTATGTCTGTCTATCTGTTTGCCTCTCTGTCTCTTTCTGTCTCTCCCTGTCTCTCCCTGTCTCTGTCTCTCTCTCTTTTTCTCTCTCTCTCTTTCTCTCTCTCTTTCTCTCTCTCACACACACATACACACACCCACGCACACACACACACGCACACACACACACACACACACACACACACACACACACACACACACACACACATACACACCGAAACACAAAGAAGCTTTTCGTGAAGCCCGGATCTCTTCTTTGAGGTCTGAAAATCTTTACACTTTACACGTTGAAAAACAAAACTTCTCAGGACTGACAGATTCAGTTCTGTTGCGCCTGTTCTGTATATCTTTGTATCCAAGTTTCAATTTCGGTTTTATATATAAATATTAACAGCGCTCGCAACTCCATTTGAGCGCTTTGGTAGGAATTAATTTTGAATTTTGCCAGCGAGGCGGTTGAAGCCTTTCTCTTACCAATCTTTGGATTACCAAGGGATCTTTAATGTGCGCAGCTTGCACACGAGACTTCCGAAAATGTTTCGCCTTTGTCCGAGAAGGCTGTGTATTAGATCTTACCTACCGTAAGGGTGTGGTTGAAAGACAGTAGTTATGAAGATGCATCTTTGTTGTCCAGATTCTGGCACATTGGATTGGTGTTTCATGCACGTACACACACACACACACGTGCACACACACACGCACACACATACACACACACACACACACACACACATGCACACACACGTATACGCACACATATATGCACACCCATATATACACGGGGGCTCTCGTTGCCTAGAGGTTAAGGTGTTCGCCTCTCATTCAAAGATCCCGGGTTCAAATCAGGGTAGCGACAGAAAAAAAATCCTTCTCTAAAATTGTCTCCATTCACCTTGTTTCCTTCTCTCTTGCAATATTCTGTCGTCTGCTTTCGTCTCCACTTTCTTCCTCCTCCCCCTCACCTCCTTTACCCTCTCCATTGGGCTCCTGACTCTTTCTGTAGCTTTTCTACTGCTACTCCTTGGCTACTTCTTACTGCTGTCTTAACAACATTTTTTTTCATTTCGCTTATCCATTTTTTAAAAATAATTTGGCCCATGATATTGTTACAGTAAGAACGAATACGCACACACACACACACACACACACACACACACACACACACACACACACACACACACACA